TATATATATATATAGATTTATATTTTGGGCTACGGAGATTCCATATGTGAAATTTGCAATGTTGCCAGATTTGCCGTTTCTCTTATATGATTAGTAACTGGTTTTTCAAAATCATCACCCTATATATTCAGTCATTATTGGAATCTCCTATTTAATAGGAGTTCAACCATATGTAACACTTATGATTTTATGTAGCTTGGAAGGTCTTAAATAAGAAAACCAAAGTCTGGCAACACCTAATCGTCTCAATAATTTTTTTAATACTAACTATTTTTAACTACAATGAAATGTAACAATTGATAGATTACATTTTTTAACAAAACAAAAAAATTTTTAACAAAATTTTTTAAATGTAATAAAATTACATTTTACTTTGTCAAGTGTTCAAAATGTGCTCCATTTGTGAGTTGACAGTATCCTTATCGATGGTAGAATGAGTCTACCACATGTGTCCATGATTGTCTAGAAATTATTCGAGATTCATCGATAATTTGTTGCTTTAGCTCTGCAAGAGTTGCTGGTTTAGTTTTGTAAACTGAATTTTTCAAGTATCCCCAACAAAAATAATCTTTAGGATTGAAATCAGGTGAACGTGGAGGCCATTCAATTCTACCTCGTCTACCAATCCAGTGTCTGGGAAATATCTCATCTAAATAACGTCGAACATTCACACCAAAATGAGCTGGAGCTCCATCTTGCTGAAACCACATCTGATTAAAATTGACCCCAAACAATTCCTCAGTGTAGGTACAATTTCATTTCTAAGTAGCATTTTTAACTATCTGACGTTAAATTTCCTTTAATAAAAAATGGCCCAATTAATTGAGTACCTACTATACCTGACCATACATTTAATTTTTGTGGTCTTTGAGTAAATTGTGTCGATTTAAACTTCCACGCAGTGTAAAGGTTGCTTCACCGGAAAAACATATTCTGTTAACGAAATTTTCATCAGCTTCAATTGTTTTCATCATTATCTCAGTAAACTCTAATCTACGATCGAAGTTATCTTCAATCTTAATTCTTGCAATAAGTTAATTTTGTATGGTTTAAATTTATTCTTACGTAATACACGTAAGACTGAACAACGACCTACATCATGTACTTGTGCAACCCCGCGTGAGGTTGCATGTGGATCTTCAACAAAACTTTGCATTACATCTAAAGCTTTTACTTCTCCAGATTCCTCAAATAGCTTTACAGATTTCTGTACCGTCGCCTTATAAATAGGAGAACGGTTTGGGAAAGTATCATTGAACAAGTTGGCTACTTCACAATAAGATCTTTTACTGTCACCGTACCCTCTCATCACTATAATAGAATAGTAATTCGTTCTTTTTCGTTAAGAGCCATTTTTGACAAGCAATTTATCTTGCAGAACTTTTCGAAACACAACTACTGTCAGTTTTAGTTAATAATGTAAATGGTGAAAAATTATGTATTTAAGACCTTCCAGACTACGTAAAATCATAAATGTTACATATGATTGAACTCATATTGAATAGGACATTCCAATAATGACTGAATATACAGGGTGATGAATTTGAAAAACCAAAGTTACTAATATTATAAGAGAAACGGCAAATCTGGCAACATTGCAAATATCAAATACGAAATCTCCGTATTCCAAAATAGGTGTACCTCAAATTTTGTACAATTATGTCTAGCAATTTACGAGATAATTGGACGTTTCCAGACTTTTGGGCCACTCTGTATGTTCTGCTGTTTGTAACAATTTGTTTCTCATCATAAAACTGACATAGATTTCATTTTTCATAAACGTGATAATGTATAAATATGTATACACGTACAACATTCCAATCTAAATTGCTGCTTAAAACATATAAAATTTCAAACATATTCATTTCTGATATAAATTAGTTTGTCTTAGGGCATGAATTTAAAAAATTGTATAAGCAGTAAGTTCAGGTTATAATGAGGTATATTCTCACATTTTGTAAATGCTAATACGAATATACTTGTGGAATAAAATAAAGGGAGCTTTAAGATGCAAATTACCTATTTAGCATAGCTACACGCAGTTAAATTTAGAAAAAAGACTTATTTGATACAAAAAAAACTTCAAGATGATAAAGCAAGTATTTAGATCTAGTTTTTTATATTGGGTTATAAATTTGAGGGAAAGGTGTTTAATGAACCAGTTTGGTATACTTGTTTTCTGTTGTTAACAATCAGATAGTGGTGAGTTTCCTATGTATTGTGTCAAATAATTATGATTTCCTTGTAAATAGAGTGAATATATGTTTATTTTATAAGCAAAGTTAAGGATAATAATAAACAAAATTTGAAACAAAATCTGAAGAGTCGGTATAATTGCGTTAGTAGTAAAGAGTTAAGACAGTTGCACTAAAATTGTAACTGTTTCAAATATTTAGAATGACAGCGGGATATTGGATTGGGATATAATAATGTGTGCACTTAATTTAATTATGTCCTTCAAACATTCCTTTAGGTGAAAACTAACTAAGGAGAATAATAGAACAACATTTCTATGTCTGATTGACTTAAAGAAAGCATCTGACAGAGTAAGATTCAAGAATAGTTCCACCATATATCATAAAACTATTGAAGACATCAATCTACTAAAACAACAACAACAAGATCGCAGTCAGAATAGATAAACAGCTTACAGAACTTATAGAAATAGGCAGCGGAATAAGAGAGGGGGATTTATTAAGCCCTATGCTCTTTAATTTAATCATGGATGATATCATCAAAAGTGTCAACAAAGAAAGAGGATACAGAATGAAAAAAAAAGAAGTAAAAATACTCTGTTACCTATCAAAATATTGATAGTCCAAGGTGAAGATAGTCTGCAAAGACTAGTCCATAGATTTAACATAAGAGCAAAAGAATTTAATATAACAATCTCAAGTCAGAAAACTAAAACAATAGTAATCAGCAAAGAACCAATCAGATGTAAAATAGAAATTGATGGCATCAGTATTGAATAAGTAATGAAAATAAAAGACCTTGGAATCACACTGTCTAGCTATGGAGACCTGGACAAAAAAGTGAGAGATCAAGTACAAAAAGCAGGATGCAATAACAGACATATTAACACTGAGATGAAGTAAAGAATTTATAAAGCAAGTGTAAAGCCAATAATGACATATGCCTCAGAGACAAGATCCAACATAGTCATAACACAAAGGCTATTGGAAACGGTAGCGATGAGCGTACTGAGAAGAATTACAAGAAATACTCTGAGAGATCCAAAGAGAAATGAAGATATTAGAAAAAAATGTAACGTAACTTCTATAAACGAATGGACACTAAATAGAAAAAAAGAAAGGAATAAAACCACATAAACAGAATGAAGGAAATCCGTGTGGTCAAAATGGCAAGAGGAGCTGGTTACACTGGCTCTCACTGAATCATTGATTCTAGGATATACCGAATACTCTATTTGCATCAATTTAGTGTCTCTAAATTTGAGAAGATGCTGAGTATAGCAGTCATCCAGGCAGGCCACTAGGTGCTCCGAGTGTCGGTTCTGATGCCATATTCTTATTCGGCAATCCCAAAAACCCCCCGAGTAATCTATTTGCATCAATTTAGTGCCGAATCCCTCGAAACACCAGAGGGTGACGTGCCTTAGTAGTAACCCTCTGCAGCAGGTGCACCGGGGGTAAATTCTGATGGCGTATTAGTGTTTAGCTACACCAAAAACTCCCGAGTAACAAAGTCTGGCCCTTAGTATACTGATGTTGACATGTTTTTATAAAATTCGCTATGGCCCCAAAAATTGCATGCAATTTTGGATGTATTTTGTACACTGTAAGTACAATTATGCATTTCCACAAATTTTTCTATTGTAGACTCTTTACCTGAAAAAGTTGGAAGTCGATAGATGCTGTAAGTATTTAAAAAATCGATTTATTCCGGTGTTTTTTGTTCTAAATGCCCTGGTTTATATGTACATTTAGTAAAACTTTTTCAAACTGGTTATTTAATTGTTTGGTAATGCTTTTTAATATATTATATAATAAACTAGCGGACCCGACAGACTTCATTTTGTCAAATAGATTTGAAATGTGGCAGTTTAGTTCTTTAATTCTCCTGAACAGAACCGTCACCATGATGATAGGGCGGTGTGTGAAGGTCAGCTCGGGTCACCTAAGTATCTTCGCTTCCACGAACTTTGGCCACCCTTTTGGACCCACTAAAAACCCCGAATGGAATGTCTGCCAGAGGGCTTCAAACTAAGAGTGGAACTTAAGGTTGAAACCTGATTTATAAATAATCCAAAGGGATAGTGGGAACCTAAAGGTGACAAATATTTATAAAGTGTAAAGTATAAAGTGGGTGCTTCAATGACAAAACATAGAGATAATAAATTATTTATTATTAATACTATTATTTATTAATACTAAGTATTTTCAGTAGTCGCTTTATTGTAAATCAAGTGAATCATAATTATTAACAAAAAATCTGTTTTATTTTTATTGTAGTGCTTTATGATATACAATGTTTTTTGTTTGATTAACTGGTGAATATACAAATAAATCTGACGGTTTTCCAACACAAGAACAGGCAACATACAATTGACCATGTGAGAAACATGGGTTTTCTAGATTAATACCACAAACACCTAATGATTGCGCCTGAGACTTATTTATGGTCATAGCAAAAGCAAGCCGCACTGGAAACTGTAGTCTTTTAAATTCAAATGGTACATCAGTCGGAATCTTTGGGATGCGTGGTATCAAAACGTCTTTTCCTTTATACTTTTCCTTCAGTTTAGTTGCTTCTATCACTTTGTTCAATAATTTTTTTATCGCTAACCGTGTGCCATTGCAAAGACGCGAGTGGTTGATATTTCTTAACATTATAACTACCGATCAAACCTTTAATTGAAGATTTGTTGAGCGGATAGTTGACGACATCCTCTTGGTTAGTAGCCGAATCAACTGATTTATATATCCTCAATTCGCCTGTAATTTGTTCTAGAAATTTGTAATTTAATTCATTTAGATCTATGTTTTTGTAGTCAATATAGCCCGTAACCAATCATGGTTTCTATAATTTTGACCAACATCTAGAAACACCTTTTGACTAAGTTCATCTTTTGATCGAGTTAACTGACAAAAACTTTGAGGAAAGTTAATGCAACCAGTCAAGGTATCTATAGGAAATTTGCCATTACCAATGTCAATGAGTTGTTTAGAGAATCTGTCTCCAGATTGGTTATTTTGCAACTCGACACGCATATTCTTGCTTAAGTGTAATACCTTGACATGTTTCCACAAATTGGAGGACTTTAAACATGTATTGAGTTCATCAGCTAGCGTTGATGGTGAAATCACTGGCAATGTTTGATGAAAATTTCCTGCTAATAAAATCATTGCACCACCAAATAAGTTATGATTGCTCCGTATATCTTGTAAGGTTCTATCTAAAGCCTCCAAAGATTTTTAATGTGCCATCGTGCATTCATCCCAAACAATCAATTCACATTGCTGCAAAACCTTTGCCATTGCAGAGTTCTTCGAAATTTTGCAGGTTGCAGTTTCGCTGCTTTGCATGTTTAATTGCAATTTTAGTGCTGAATGGGCTGTTCGACCCCCGACGAAGCGAGTGCATGTGCAATCTTATTTTGTGAGCGAATTGTTGCTAATATCAATGAAATCAAAAAAGTTTTTCCTGTCCCAAGCATCTAAGAAGTAAATCGTTTCTGTTTTATCATTTGTTACTTTTAAAAGTATATCAAATACATAGTTCTGTTGTTCATTCAATAGTGAAAGATTTGTTTTTCATTCAATAGTGAAAGTGTTGAGATTATACAGTTCTTCTCGGTGCAACTCTTGGTTAAAAGCATCATGCATTGGACGATTGGGCTCGGCCAGGCCTAATTGAAATAATAGTTTGTTTGCTAGAAAAGCAAATAGTTTGTTAGAAAATAATTTCTTCGCTTATTTGTATATTTGGATTTCCCCTTCTAATCCGTATTTGACACAAAATATCATTACACATTGTAGCATTTGCAATTTCATTGATTCTTTGGTGTATATTGAAATCCCCTCGTATATGTAATATATTGAAATCCCCTCATATCTGTTTGAAAAATCAAAGAATATTTTTAATGTATCTTTCTATCGTACGTATTAAAACCCAAATATGTTTTCAATTCGGGTCGAGAATATAAACCATTTTATAGTTTGTTTATATTTTACATATGTTACTTCTTCGGTGTTTGTTTTAATGTTTTATTCGAACTGCTTGAATTGCATTTTCTAATAAAGGAATTGCGTTTTAACCATCGTTTAAGTGTTTTGTTATTTTAAGTTATGCGATCAATTTCTAAGGATAATTTCGTGACTCTCGTTGGAGCTGCGATCAAGAGCGGTTCAGCGTTATGTCCAAATTCATGTCGAATTTGTAAAATTTTCTGTTTTTGCCCTTTTCATAGAAAATGTGTAGCAGCGTGAAGTTAATGGTTCAGTTAATGTTTTGAGTGAGGATTGGAAAAATCGTCGTTTCCATCCTCGTTTTGTTTCTCTCTGGTTATCATCCAAGGCTTTTGGTAGTATGGAGATAGATTTGTTCGTGTATTCGTTGCACAGAGAGTGAAGCCCAGGTTTACCCCCAGTTATGGTTCTAGGAATTCCAGTGACGTCCAGTTACAGAAAATCCAAAGTGTTTTAGTGCAAAATCCAGGTAACATTTTGTTCAAATTTTAAAGTAAAGACAGACAATGTTTTTATAAAATGATAGTTGCTTTCGTTAAAATTTAGAAATTGTAACATTCAAAAATTGTAAATTTTAGGTTTTGAGTTTAGCCGTCATTTTAAATTTTTCTCTTTTAAATCTAATATTTACATAAGACAGCTCGCTTTATTATTTTTGATTTTCATTTTTTTTGAAGTTGAGGTAATATTTTTGTATTGTCTTTTTTGAGTATTCTTGTATTCTCTATGTTTTGTAACTGTTTGTGGTAAGACACAATAAATGTTAAAATTTGCTTTCTTAAACATTTTGTTTATTTTTTAACTAACCCCTTTTTTGAATTTTATTTGAAAAATATATGGTTTTTATGTTTAATCATTAGTTCCCTAGTTACAACTAGTGGTTGTAATAGGTATAATTAGGCATCTCAAAGTGGCGCCCTGTATTAAATTACTAGAGGTGTTTGCTGTTTCTTTTTGCTTTGTTTATCCCAAGAGGTTCATGAACTTTTGTTTCATATTTTTGTATTTGCCCCAATCCACCCCCTTATCTTTTACTTATCCACGACCCCAGCTCTCCTAACAAACCCTGAGTGCCGTTCGCACAAGTAGCGTTTATTTTGCTTGCCCTATCTTTACCCCCATAATTTTACGATGAGGTAAGCAAAATATTTGTCGTTACAACATTCAGCGACAATAAAGCGCAAATTGACTCTTCGACGTTAGTAACACACCTACATTATTTAGACAACAGTGAGTGCTTGTAATTTAATATAAACTTTATTGATTAGGCTGCTTTAGGGTTTTCCCGGAAATTATTCCAATTTTTCTTTTCTCGAATTAAAAACCATCCTTAAACTTCAAGGAACATTTTAAAAATAGAATTGTTAAGAATGGTCCATGCGTTGTTGAGTTATGCGCTTACCAACACATTTTGCGATTAATTTTTATATTATAGATAGGGTGACCATATGTACTTTTTTTAGTAGGACAGTACTTTCTTTTTAAACGCTGTCCTATTGTACTTTAAAAATGATGAAGTACACCTAAATGTACTCTTTTTTTTAATTACTCAAAATTAAGTCCTACTTTTTGTCCAAACAAAATATAATTATGGTTCGAATTGATTCAAGAATCGATCTTTTGCGGAAGAATCAGAATCTCCTATCTTTAGCAGCATTCGATCGGCGCAGGAGTCACTTGTCACTCTCACCGCTGCGTCATCGTCTAGTTTAGTTTATTACCGATACGCCCATCTCTCCCCATCCCCATATGCTTTTGGCAGTTTTTCTCGTTTTTTGTATTATTTTGTGCTGTGTGGAAAAATAAACAATTTCATCATGTCACCGCCTAGAAGAAAATGCCATTTTAACGTCGAGTTGCAAGCAGAGTAATGAAACAAATCAAATGTTTCACCGCATATTGTGATTTGCCAAATTTGTAAAAGTGATGTTAATATTTCTAACAGTGGTCGCAGTAATATCAAACAACATTTGTAAAAGAAAAAACACATGTTGGCTGCTAATGCGAACTCGAAGAGCAGCAAATTGGAAACCTTTTGCTTACCATACAATTAAGCATTTGCAAAGTTTCAGATCCTCAGACTACACGTCAAAACTAATTGTATGTAGTTTTAGTTGAACCTAAAGTTTAAATTTAGTTGAAACTGCCGCAAATTTAGTTGAACCTAAATTTGCGGGAGTTCGAACCAAAACTGAGGCGATTGTAAAAAATGTTTTAGCTCAAGAGGCTCAATCCCAATTAGAAATTGACCTTCGAAAAGCAAATTTCGTCAGCATCACAATCGATTCGTCGAATCATAGAGAAATTAAAGTTGTGCCCTTAATGGTAAGATATTTTGATGGATAAAATGGTGTCCAAGTAAAATTCCTTCAGCTACGTGACTTACCTGGTGAAACATCAGAGCAGTTAAAAGATTACGTGGTGTATGTTTTGAATTACCATAATCTACTACAAAAATGCATCGGAATGTCTGCTAATAATACAAATACAAATTTTGGTGGAATGAGAAGAAAAGGAGTGAACAATCTATCCAGCAAATTAAATGCTTCTCGTGGTAAACTCGTGATTGGAATTGGTTGTGTGGTACACATTTTTAATAACTGTTTACAAAATGCAACGGACGTCTTACCCATAGACATCGAGGTAAATGCGGTCAAGATTTTTAAGTATTTCTATATTTTTACAGTCAGAGTGGAGAAACTAAAGCAGTTTTGCGATTTTGTTGATATCGAGTACAAAAAAAATGTTGTCGTTTTCAAAAACAAGATTTTTGAGCCTAATGCCAACCATTGAACGAATTATACAAATATTTAAACCCTTGAAAGCATATTTTTTATCGATTGATAATTGACCAACAGTTCTAAACAGTTTTTTCAAAACCCAATCAGTGAAGCATGGATGTGGTTTGTGCATAACATTGCGTGTCTCTTCCACAAAGTGATTTTAGATGTAGAAGGTGACAAAATATGCGCAACGGAAGCCGCTTTGGAGTATTTCGAACTCATAAATAAGCTTCAAAATCGCTTAAATGAGTTATTTTTACCGCTTAAAGTAAGAGAGTCACTTTCAAAACTTGAAAATACGGAAGACCTTGACTGTAGTGTGAACTATCGGGATATCTTTATCACGCATGTCAAGCAGTTCTATTCAAATAGTGTAACATATTTGACAAAACTGGAGTGAAAATTTAAGTGAATTAAAGCTATTCGGATGGCTTAACTTGAAAAAAACAAGTTTCTTGGGCTGAAATTGTATCGTCGTGTGAGGTTTTCAAAGACTACATAGGTCCGATATTGAATCAGGACGAACTGTTTGATGAAGTTAGTTTAATACGAAAATACGTTACAGAAGATAAAATCGCAGACTGGAATTCGAAAAATATTTCTACCGAAGATCGATGGCTCGAAATCTTCCAAAAGAGTTTTGTTCTTTTTGTCTGCCTGGGACCAGTGCGTCGATTGAGCGGTTGTTCTCAAATATCAGTAACTATTGGAGTCCCAACAAATCGCAGTTGAAAATATCTACTCTGGAAGCCATCATGCAAGTCTACACAAACTTCAAAGTTTCGTGCAATGAAATGTTTCAGTTCTTAAAGAGTAAACCGCAACTTCTGAAGGAAATTCATAGTTCCAAAAATAACGACTGGTACCAAAAAGATGATCAAGGTGTTCAGGAAGAAACGTCGAAAGAAATTAACTATTAAAATTTATCATGTCTCTTTTGACAAAATTTTGTCCAAAAGAGACATCGAAAACAGAACACAGCAGGGAAAAAAAGTGGTAAACATTCTAAACTCTCTTCTTTGGTTTAAAGATATTAGACAAGAAACGAAATTGACAATCTATCGAACCTTGGTAGAGCCTATTATGACTTATGGGGCAGAGGTTTGGCAGATAACGCAGAAGGATAGAAAAAGAATAGAAGTAGTAGAAATGGATTTTCTAAGGAGAGCGTGTGGTATATCCAAAAAAGATCACATCAGGAATGAAGATATTAGAAGGAGGACAAATACTGTATATTCCAGTGTAGATAGAATTGAAACGAGACAACTAGTGTGGTATGGTCACGTGAAACGAATGAATGAAGATAGATGGCCAAAGAAAGCTTTAAATTACATACCACAACAAAGAAGAAGAAGGGGAAGGCCTTCAGTTGCC